GCTGCGCCACCAGGGAGGGCCTATAGTTTTTGTTATTAATGACAGCTTTTGATATTTATTTTATATAGTATATGAGCTTGAACTTCATTTTCCTTTCATACATGTATAAAATTGCCCGTCAGTGAATAAACCCTTTTTATTTTCATATACTAAATTTTCTTAGATGCTTGAGTCCATATTTTTGTATATTGCTGTGCTAAGATGGTATTATTTTAAATATTGCTTTAGATCAGGGCAAGTCTTTGAGACAGGAATTTTAAAACATCAAGTAGCCTTATATTCAAACCCCAATTCTGCTACTTGACAACAAACTCTGTTTCAAGTTAATATTTTTGCTCCTCTTTATGTTTCCTTTTCTGGAAAATATTGATAGTAGCATCTATCTACCTTATAGATTGTAATGGTCCTAACATTATACCTGCCACTAAACTGAATACTTGTTACCTCTCGTTGTTTGTGGAGATAGAGCCTTTAAAAATAAAATACTTATCTATGCATACAGAACTGGGGTACAGGCCAGAGGTGGTGGTGAAGGTGGGTGAGAGGATTCACAAGAGGGAAGCAGGGGCGTTCAGGAGAGGTCTGTCATACCTTGTGGGTCAGCTCCTGGCCGGCAATCCAACTTGTGCTGCAGTGGCTGCTGTAGCTTCATAGTGCTGTGCTTTAAACCCGTTGAGCCACCTGGGAGGGCCCTGCTTCTTTTTTTTTGAGTACTTCCATGAACATTCTTCCTCTGCTCTCCTTGGTCTTTCCTTTCCTCCAAAAATGAATGACTAATACAGATGATAGCCTGATGTCCATAGGCCCTCTCTCTTGAGAGACAAGTCTTGTTCAGGCAGGGCCTGTTATTTTTTGTAAAACCTGTTTTCTAATGCTCCCCAAGGATGTGAATTTTCCTTTCTGCTTGTTCTGTGCTAAGTTCACCATGTGCACATCCTATAAGGAAAATTTGCATTTCTTTATTCTGCTTGGATCTGTGGGATCATTTTAGAGCAAATGGGAAGTAAAAAAAAAAAAGGAAAAAACCCTTTGTGTCCAAAGATTCAAACAATTCTTTTCGTTCTAGCTATGAAAAAGTAAATACTGCATTGTTGCTATATGACTCAGAAATATATTTCTCATTGGCTTGGAGCATTCTCCTCTGTTTTATGATTAGTTATCCCCAATTGTCTACAGTTGTTATGCAGGAAAATGCTTTAATTTATTTATTAAAGTAGTCAACTGGAGCACCGAAAGCTAAATTAGAACTGCAGATCAGTTTGTGATAAGGATGGATTTTGAATGTTTTTGCTAATATTTTTAAATCCTGAGATTTTATTTATGTTCACTTACCATACCATATTATCAAGGAACTAGCAATGGTGACATTATGTGATAGAAATATATAATCAAAAACTGTTACTTCAGTGGTCAAGTTTTCTGAGTTTTTTGACAACAAACATTAAATGAGGATACAAGAGAATTATAAGTTTAATCACAAGCTTTTGAACAGAACATAAAGAGCTGTCTTTGGCTCCAGGCTTTTAGAAACCTGGAATAGAAATTAAAAATTACTTTTAGACCAGCACTTTAGTCTCTGCAGTTGTTCACTGAAATCCTACTCTAACAACAGGATATTGGAAATATATTGTGCAGAGATCATTGGATATCAAAAAAGTAGTGACACCCTGCTACCCATCCCTAAAATATTACCTGGGGAGTTGAATTTCTGGTTTGAACTTGGAGGGAAAACCTCCTCCACTTCCATCTACATCCTCCCAAGTTTTATTTGGGTTTGTTATAAGAAATTGGATTTCAGGGCCCTCCCTGTTAGTGCAGGGGGTTAAACGGCAGCACTATGAAGCTATCCAAAGCTGCAGCATGAGTTCTATCCATACCCTGCCAGGGAGGTGACCCACATGTTGCAGTAGACTTCTCCTCTCCTGCTTCCCCAGCAGTGTATTTCAGTTTACTAGTTCTGCTCCCCACTCTGTCTCTGGTGAATTGTCTCATCCCCCCTGCACTTCTGGCCTATACCCTAGTTCTTCCATGCATTCATAATAAATCTTAGAATTAAAAAAAATGGATTTCAAGAGGTTATATAGACCAAAGGAGATACAATCCTGTTCTCTTATTTATATATGTGCCAAGGAGCACAGGACATTTTACAGTGAATAGTGTTTCCTGTCTTACAAAGAGTCAGCTTTGGGAAAACGTTGTTAACCTGCACATTCACTTTTCAAAAGCCTTCTGATTTTGAATAGTTAAAATTATAAAAGTGTTTATAGCTCTCATACCTTTTCCTATTTGCAGATACCCACTTCCGTTTGTAAAGACATCAACTACCATTTTCTTGTATATATATGCTTCTAGGGATTTGATATGTAAGACTTCATATAGTATATACATAAACAGGCTTTTAATATGCTTGTATAAAGAGTGATAAGAGCAGTCTGTCATCACAACCTTGCCAGTTTTTAATTTTTAATCTTGATCTCTCTAAAATTGCCCTTGGTTGCCCTTTGTGGAGATTGTCCCATTTTGTAGTCGGTGATTAGGCCATGTGAGAGAGTAGGGGGAGGTTGTTTTCCTACAACCTAGCCCACACAGTGCTTTTAAATGTCTTTGGTTTTGCTAGTCAGAAGGAAAAATAGTATCTGGTAGTATAAATTTGCATTTTTGCTATTATGCAATGAATTTAAAATATGTTTTTCCAGTTTATCGCTTGACATTGCCATACGTCGACACCTTTACATTCCGTGTATTAATTTAGCAGTTACACTCTCAAATTACCCCCACTGACGGCTAAGTTAGGAACATGTGTTTTGAAAATGCTTTCAGTGGTGGTTTAGTGTTGTGGCAGATTTTCTGTTTGCCAACCATCAAATACTTTCATGAGGAGGAATCTAAGGCCTTAAAGGGCATCACGAGGTTACCCTTAGATCTTGAGCCATTTCGAGGACCTGGGTTTCAAACTGAGAGCTGCGCTGGGGCGAGCGCGGCACTCAGCCCCGCGCCTGCACCTGAGGGCGGGCTCGGCCAGCGCGGGAGGCCTTGGTGCCCCGCGGCCGCGAGGCCCAGATCCCGCCTTCCCACTCGGCCGGCTGCAGCGGCCCCTGGCGGCCGCGGAGAGCGCGGTCGTCTCGGTCAGGTTCGCGGCTGAGCCCTTTTCTTTCCTCCGCAGACGTCCTTCTCTTCGCGTTGAAAGCCGCTTTCTCCTCAAGGGCCGGGGTTTGCGTCTGTCTCTGCCGCTTTGAGCAGTTGGATTGTGCAGGATTCGGGCGCCAGCGCGGCTCTAGCTCTGCGCTGCCCGCCCGCACTTCCCAGAGGTGGGGCTGAGAGGACCGTGACGGCCGGGGTGGTTTCCGCGTCTCTCCCCGGCGGCTCCCTCGCCGCCCCGTTTGGGGCCAATCGCGAAGTTTTGAACTTCCGGGGTTGACTTGTCCCGGTTTGTTGCGGTGGGTGGCCGAGGGGGTGCAGCTGTGCCAGTGTTGGGGCGCGGCCCTTTAAAGTTTTGTTTTTTAAACTTCGGGGGTGTGGTCGCGGCGCCTCCGCTCTCTGCGGCCGGCTGTTCCCTGGCCACTCCGTCTTCCCTTCTGCCCCGCCTTCCAGATGCTTAGGAGTCATGAGCCTGGAGGGCGCCGGCACCCCTCTGGTGGTTGAGGTGATCAAAGGTGAGTGCGGTGTAGGCTTTGCTACTTCTCAGTGCCCCCACCCCCAGCTCCTAGGATTTTGAGGGTACTGGGCGGTGCCCGGCGTGCCCAAGAGGCCCCGAGGTGCTGGTGGAGAGTGTCTTTGAACTTGAGGGCCAGGGCGCGTGCTGTTTTGTGGGCGTTCCCAAGCTTATGGTCTTGCTTTGGGGAGAATCGACCCACCCTGCACTCGGGACCCTCGTGTCCTTACACTCGTGTCTGGGAGTTGAAGTGAATCACCCGAAGGAGCAGAATCCTTCACTGTGCACGGGGATCAAGGGTCATTTGTAGTTGGAAAAGGAGTACGTGCCATCATGTGTTTGAGTGTTATGGTTGCAAGAGATTTTAGTTGTGGAGTTTACAGGGAAATGTTTCCAATAATTGTATGAGTTGAAGACAAAAATGTTTAAATTACCATTTGGGGAAAGGATGCCAGCTGGCATCCTTTTGTCTCTTTCTTTTTATAAGGCTGTCTTGTTTTTGTCACAAGTTGAAAGTAAGTATTCCACTGGTACTACTAGGTATTGCTGAAGACTCTTTCACTGAGGATTTTTTTGGCAACTTCTTCCCAGGGGGCGGGGTGGGTGTGAGGTGGGGGAAGAAGGGTGGAGTCTGAGCATTACAGCCCTCACCATTCTTGCTAAACATCACAGCAGCCTAACTGCATTTGTACAACACAAAGTTCATCTCCCACTCATCATGTAGAAACCTCTCATTGCTTCTGTCTTAACGGTTGCTTAATTGTAAAAAGCGCTATGAAAGTAGTGATTCAAATAAAAAAGTGATGGCTAAGAACATCTGGGTTAGCCTGTATGGTTTTGTTGTTTGTGTTCTGTAGTTTTAAACATTGTTTTGGAAGCAGTTTCAAAAGCATTTTTTCTCCACTTAAGAAAAATACAGCTTTTTAAAGTGACTTTTTAGGATATATCTTGAAAGCATAGCAAAACAGTGATCATTACGTACCTCGATGGCTAGCCACCGAAGGCATGCAGAATTTTGCTAAAATTCGTTAGGCCAGGGGAATTATTTGTGCAATGAGAGGTTTCCAGAGAGAATCCAGCCATACTGATACATGAGGTCACTAACACTGTTGAAACTTATGTTTAAGACAGTTGCTTCCTTAAAAAACTGCTTATTATCGCTCACCAAAATAGTCAGAACATTTTGAAATTTAACATTGACAACCTAACTATCGTGGGAAAAAAGTTTTTTTTACTTCATCTCAAAAGAGTTGCATCATGATATACGAACGTTTTTTTTTTTTAATAACCTGAAGGAAGGAACATTGCCATTTTTCCATTTCAGATCGCCTTTGTTTTGCCATTCTCTACAGCAGACCAAAGAGTTCATCAAATATACATTATTTCAGCATAGATAATGAACTTGAATATGAGAGGTAAGTATTACTTTTTAAAAGATTGTTAGTATCCTTTTTTTTAATTTGAAGACTCTAGAGGTATGTTTATAAATAGGATAGCCTTGAAAAATTAGAAATCTGTAGATTAATAGCCGCAGCATGATTTTTAAGCCTTTGAAAGTAACAGACCCTTAGGGGAAAACAAAGTGAAAAGAACTTTCTCAAATTTAATAATTTACATATGAAATTTACGTGGTTTACAGTATGGGATATAAATTGGCATTCTAAGTAAGTTGTGTTTTTGCCAGTGCAGGGAAACAACAGTCTTTTTTGTTCAGATGGTATTTTATATATTATTTGAGGTTATACTTAGGCATTGTAGCACTTGTCATTTTATTTTTTTTAAGGCATTGCTTACCAGAATATGTCTTTCAGTAGTAAAGCACAATTTCGTGTATTTTTTTCCTTAGTTTAATCTTGTAGAACCTAAAGCTTTTTTTTATTCAGCGCTTTTAGAATATACATATGTTTTGTTTTCCATTTTTAAAGCTTCTACGCAGATTTTGGACCACTCAATTTGGCAATGGTTTACAGATATTGTTGCAAGATAAATAAGAAATTAAAGGTAAAGTCTTTAATTTTTACTTAAGCTTTTGAGAGGGAAAAGTAGGGAAAAAATTCATTTTTAAAAAGGAAATGTTGATTTTCTCTATGCAGTGGTGTTTGTTACTCTGTGGTTTTTTTTTTCCCATAAAGTCATAGTATATATATTTTTGTCCAGACTTTTGATTGGACAATTTAAGTTTGAGTCATTTGCTTCTGGTTTGGATTGGTGATTTTCAAGCATTTGAAAATCCAAAGAGAAAATTGGTTAATAAAGTCAGCCTCCTACTGTCTGACCTAATGGAACTGAAACCTAACAAGAGAAACTTGTCTTGCTTTAGTCATTGTTTTTCCTGCCATCACTTTCACAGGGAGTGCTAGCAAATGAATACAGAAAAATTGGCTCATCTTTTATTCTCTCTATCTTATATCTCCCATGATTATGTAATACTTAAGACTCCACCTTTACCCTTTACACATAAGCAACAGGGAAAGGTAAGGCAAATAGTTTATTTTTAAAGTGAGGTCATTGAGAATTGCAAAAGTGTATTTCTATTAGTTTGAATTTAGATCTCATTCATTTATTTAAAAAACTTGGAATTGCACAATAAGATTCTTACTGTTTACAAAATCTGTTTGCAGTTCCAAATTAGCCTTTCTAAATTTTCAATGAGAGAATACTGAATTTGGGGCAGGAACTTTTTCAAATCTACTTTACTCAGTTGATTATTTAAAGGACTCCTAGCCAGGAAACATTGTTTTCTTTTTATTTAAAATTGTGTTTATAATTGAATAGTACAGGTTTACAGCCTTGCATACACATGCTTTAGGTTTTTCAGATGGGTGACTCCATTAGCAGAATACCAGTGACCCTCCACAATCTACTGGATCCTTCCACTCGTTGCCTCTCCACCTACCCCCACCCAGTCACACTATAAGACTGAAAAACAGGCTCAGTTCTCTAGGCAGACTCCAAGGGTTTGTTTCAGTTTAGTTTTGCTTGTTTCTTTGCTTTGTTCTTTATATTCTACACATTAGTGAAATCATCCAGTGTTTATCTTTTCCTTCTGATTTATTTTGCTTAGCATGATCTGCTCCAGTTTCATCCATGTTGTCACAAATGGCAAGATTTTGTATATTGGTTTGTAGTCTGCACTTATTGTTTCTTACAGTTTTTAGGTAGAGTTTAGAATTTTTCTATGTGTAGTATCATGTCATTTGCAAATATAGTAGTTTTTGTTCTTTCCTTTGGATTCCATTTATTTCTTTTTCTTATCTAACTGTTCTAGCTAGGACTTCCAATACTATATTGAATGATATACCTGATCATACCTGATCTTAGAGGAAAAGCTTTTTAGTTTTTCTCTATTGAATATGGTATTAGCTCTGGGGTTGTCATATGTGGCCTTTGCTGTGTTGAAGTATATTTCTTCTATTCCCATTTAAGTGAGAATTTTCTACTCTAAGTGAATGTTAAATCTTGTCATGCTTTCTCTGCATCTATTGATAGGATCACATGAATTTACCTTTTATTTTATGTGCTCAATTACATTGGTTTTTGGATATGGAATCATCCTTACATCCCCGGAATAAATTCCACTTGGTCATAATATATAATCCTTTGATGTACTTTTGAATTCAGATAAAATTTATTTTCAATTAAAAATTAAGTTGTATAAAGTTTTTATGGGTGAATCAGGCAGATTATTCCCCCCTACCCCAGCATCAAACCTAAAATTCCATCTCTTTAAGTTTTAGAAGCATCTGTCAGATGAGTTCCTACTATGTAAAATGAAAGTAGTATGCCCTTTTGGCTATATGTATTCACTATGGATGTATACACAAATGGAGATATCCTTCTGGACTTTATTCCTTCTTGAATAGTCATCTAAGCATTTATGGTCTTGTAAAGTTCTTCCTTCTCTTTTTCCATTGCCACTATCAGGACTTTTGTTGATTGGGACTAGGAAGCTAAGAATAACTTTCTTTCTCTCCATTTGGCTTTCTTTGTATAATTTTGTAAGAATCTTTTCACTTGTTCTCAGCCACCAGTGGAATTTTATCCTTTGGCTGAACCAAGTATATGTAAGTCCTTTTTGATTATTTTTTTTTTCACACTTACTAGAAGAGTTCACAGTATGTTGTGTCTAGAGCTTTAATTGAGTGTATTGTGCTTGTGCTGTTTGGTGGGTGCTTGGGTTTTCTTTTTGTTTCTTAAAACCAATGTGGATGTCTTATTCCGCGTAAACAACTAAAGGAAAATACGTACACACTCATCACTGACTCCTAGAAGCCGAGGATTGTGTACTTCCTGAACTGCCTGTGTCCTGTTCCTTGCCCTTACCTAACTTCATTTACACTCAGTTAGTGAAGTACAGGTGAGGAAATGTTAGTCATTTTTTAATTTGCTTTTAAGTTTAATATCCTTTTTAACTTTTTATTGATAGGTATTGTAACTTTGGAAATACGTGCATATCTGAGTATACAGCTCAGTGAATTTTCACAAGTGGTATATACATAATAATCAGTTATCTGATCAATCAGATCAAGAATAGAACTTGAGCAGCAACCTGGGGCCCTACTGAAGTTTTCTGTTATCTCTCTCTACCACTCTCATCCTGCCCCATCTTTAACTTAAAATGAAAGGGTCTATAAAAATAAGCTAAATAAGTTGTTCTGTTAGAAACTTAAAGGTTTGGGGACTAGATTTTTTTTTTTAAGTAGCTGAAGGGAAGACAAGCCTTCTTTCACTATCTTTTCCAGATTCTTCTGTACTTAGAGTAGTCATTTGTCTTCCCCTCTTCCTCAATTGCACATTCATTCTAGTCCAAAAATACATGTTTTATGGGAAGGAAGATTCATGTTTTGGGAATCAAATTTAATATTTTTAAAGGTCTTCTTAATATAATGTTTATTAAGCTAATATAATGCTTATTAATTGTGAGATTTGGAATTTTTTCTTTACAAAATAAAGTTTGAGAAAACATGAAATTGAGATGAGAGACTAAAAGCTGGTTTGTCTTTATGCAGACCGTTACAATGATAAGGAAGAAAATAATTCATTTTACTGGCTCTGATCAGAGGAAACAAGCAAATGCTGCTTTCCTTGTGGGATGTTATATGGTAAGTAATTAATTTGTTAATGTTTTAGTGAGTACGTGTATAACAGTAGTACTTTAAATTTGTGATTGGAATTTTGAAAGTTTTTCTAAGGTAGTATCTTCAGTTTTCTCCAGGAAGACCGTTTTGCTTTTCCGAATTGACCAATGGGGAAAACACTATATATGTAGGGGTGAGGAGTATATGAGAAATCTTTGTGCCTTCTTACTTTACTTTTTTTTAAGATTTATTTTTTATTTATTTATGCACACAAGAACTGGGGTGTACAGGCCAGAGTTGTGGGAGGGGTGTGTGTGAGAGGATCCACTAGAACCAGAGTGGGAGCAGAACAGGCAGATCTGCTGAGATCCTCTGCAGAGGGGAGCAGCAGGTTAGACAGGAGCAGTCTGCTGTGCTATGTGGGTTGCTCCCTGGCTGGGGATGGAACTTATGCCACATTGGCTGGCAATAGCTTGATAGTGCTAGGAATTTAACCGCTGCACCACCAGGGAGGCCCCTTTCATTAACATTGCTGGGTCTAAACTGTTATGAAAAAAAAAAAAAAAAAAAAAAAGATGAACTCCAATGAAGATCTTTGTATTGTAGTGTCACTTAATGGTAGAAGTAATGAATGCCGCAGACTATTTTTAACTCACTTTTGCCGCAGACTATTTTTAACTCACTTTTGATCTGCTTAGTAAAGTTGTATTTTTAAGGAAAATATCAAAATGTATCAAAAGAGGTAAGAGTGTTTTACCATTTGAATGTAGGCAGATTTTTCCTAGCAAAGGTATTACTCTAAAATCATTTTTTATTCCTATCCAAATATCTAAGAGGAAGATGTTGCATGTCTATTTGGTCTATTTGTATCATTAGAAATATGCCTTGGGGCCCTTCCTGGTGGCGCAGCGGGTTAAAGCACAGCACTGAGAATCTAAAGCCACTTCTGCTTGAGTTGATTCCCGCATGTCCCGGAGGTGACCACAGGTGTGGCAGATCTCTGCTGCTGACCCACCCACTGCTCCCCTCAGCAGTGTACTTCATCGATCTGCCTGTTCTGTTCCCCACTCTGTCTCTGGTGAAGCCTCTCACCGCCCCTGAGCCTCTGGCCTGTACCCCAGTTCTGTATGCACAAATAAATAAATCTTAAAAAAAAAAAAAAAAGAAATATGCTTTGGAATAGCCAGAATTTAAATGAGTATGGAAAATCATTATTTCTACTATCATGGGAGCCTTTTTTTTTTTTTTCTAAAGAGTTACATTTTAGCTATCACCTAGTTCATTAAGTTGCAGGAGTACTTAAGCATCCATCATTTCTTTTATTTTTTCAAAGATTTATTTATTTATGCATATAAGAACTGGGATACAAACCAGAGTTATGAGGAGTGTGAGAGAATTCACCATAGACAAAGTAGGGAGCAGACTGACTGAAATACACTGCTGATAGGAGCAGTGGGCCAGGCAAAAGTCTGCTGTGCCATGTGGGTCAGCTCCCAGGCCTTGGACTGAACTTGTGCTGCAGTGGCTGTAGAGAGCTTCTTAGTGCTACACTGTAACCTACTGCACTACCAGGGAGCGCCAGCATCTATTATTTCTGAGTATGCTACGAGCTCATACAGAGTAAGTCTCCCGCTTTCTGGTGTTGTGGAAGCTAGTTCACTAATTCAGTGAAGAACAGTAAGTGGCTGTTTCTACCAATTCCACCAGTTATTGATGTGTTATTTTTCTAAATGGAAAAAAAGGAGTTGATTTTTGGATTTGTTAGATAAGTTTGTTTTCCCTATTTTTTTTGTTTAAAGATTAGTTTATTTAGTATACAGAACTGGGGTTCAGGCCAGAGGTGCAGGGGTGGTGAGCAGATTCACCAGAGACAGAGTGGGGAGCAGAATAGGCCTACTGAAGAAGTACACTGCTGAGGGGAGCAGCGGGCGGGTCAGGAGAGGTCTGCTGCACCATGTGGGTCACCTCCAGGGCGGGGATCAAACTCAGCTTCTCAGTGCTGTGCTTTAACCCACTGCACCACTGGGCCCAGTGTTTCCCCCACCTTGCTCTTTGCTTCTGTTATGTTCTTCTCCCTTTTAAAAATAGTTTTTGTTTATTGTTTGATTACACAAAGTTTTAGTAGTTAAAATTATACCTCAAAATTTAATGAAATTTCCTTTTATGTCTAAAGTACATCATTAGCAATAATGATTAAGACCTTTCCTGATTTTATTTTCTAAGTTGTTCTCACAAAACTGCTTGAGAGAGGTGTTTATGAGATAACTAAGTTTCATAATCTGAACATATGAAATGCAGGTTGTAATTATGCTTATTAAAATTTGCCTTCTGAAGCTTACCCAGATATGGCATTTCTGTGTGTTCTCCCCCCCCACCCCCCCCCTAGTGTTCATTGTGCCTTGCAGCAAAAATCCTTGGCGGGGGCGTTTGTTGGGGGAAGAGGCTGTGCATGGTTCCGAGAGTTTGGAGAGGCTGCTGTTGTAACTGGGTCATTTGTTAGTTCCCTGGTTGGACCACTGGGGAGGAAAATGCTACAGATTATAGTAAATCCTGACAGCTTGCAGAAAAAGGGGTATAGCTAGAATTCCTTGGGTTAATTAAGTAAAACCAGAATAACTATGGACCCTGAAAAAATGGCTCTTGGTCTGATATTAAAGTCCCTGCACTGCCCAGGAGAAAGCTTTTCTCTAGTTGATCCATCTAAGACAGAGTGATCATGAGTAGAACATAAAGCTGATTAGTTTTCACCTCGTCTACTTTTGGTTAATTCAGTTGTCTCTGGTCAGATGGTGTGTCCCAAGATGGTGACTAAGGCATGGTGGGAACTTGAAGTTTGTTTTAAATTGCAGAGTGATAATTTACGAATAAGAGATCTCTTTTTTATATCTTTATATTTCTTTTAAAAATACCATTGCTGCTGGTTTGCTTTTGTTTTTGTTTCACAGTTTGTGAAAAAGCAATATTCCTTCAACAGATTTGTTGAAAATTTGTTGGTATATTCCGAGTTTGGTGTTCGCTTTTTGACTTTGTTTATGATTGTATTTTGGCATATAGATGTTTATCTTTCTATAGCTAATATATTTTTAGGTTTGGAAATCCTGCAAGGATTTTGTGCTCTTAGATTAGCACTGTCTTGATTGGTTAGGAAAGTGCCAAGTAAGCAAGTTGGACATTAACTTGAGTTCATCTTCTACTCAATTAAATGCCAACTTGGCAGGAGAATGACAGCTCTTGGCTGTAGCAATAGTCTTTGCACTGATTAAATTCAGAGCTTAGAGATGCAATGGTGTGAGATGGGGAAAGGAGAGAAACTTCTAAGAAAAGGAAATTTATTAGTGCCGGGAAAGTATTACATATAACACTTATATAAGGTAGAAGATATAGATATCTCAAAAGATTGTAAATCAAGTAAGTTCTATTCATTCTTAATATACAAAAAGAGAAGGTGTGAAAATGAAGTGTTGGTACTGCTGTTTATTTTTTGTCTAAGACAGTTTACACTTTTCAAATACTTAAAATACTCAAATATTTAAAATAGGATTTATATCCTGTGTTCATTTACCTTGTTAATATTTCAAAAAATGTTATTTACTTATTTATACATAGAAGAACTGGGTGGGCAGGGTGAGAGGGTTCACCAGAGACAAGAAGATGTATTGAAATAACACCGCTGAGGGGAATAGCAGGCAAGACAGGAGAGTTCTGATGCCCCTTGTGGGTCAGCTCCCTGACTAGGGATCAAACTCAGGATGCAGTCACAATAGTGTGACAGTGCTGGGAGTTAACCCCTGCACCACCAGGGAGGTGCCCCCCCCCATGTTCATTTAAACCTTTTATCAGATGGTCTTTTGCCATGTGTGATTTTGAAAAGGGAGACAGATGGCTTTGCTATTCATTTGTCTTTGATTGTATTTCTCAGTATTGTATTTTATGTGCCCTGGTAAATAGATTTGCCAACAATTTGAAATGGAATAGTCTTTAGTAACAAATTGGGATGAACTAAACATCTTTTACATTACTTATTGTAAAAGAATTGAGGAGTATAACAGATCACTGAGCTTTTCTTTTACAAATAGATAAGTGAACCATTATGATTTTACCAAATGATAAATTTGCTGCCCTTATTCTGTGATAAGTCAGTGGCTGTTAACTAGCCATATCATACTTATCCTGTCATTTCGTAATTTAAGTAGAAAGTAAGAAAAAGTAAGTTTTCAAAACAAATTCATGATTTAGTATTTTGAAACTGAATTTGAATCTTTATTTTGTTGTAAAAATATGTCACGTGCAAAACCTGGATTTGAATGAGGAACCTGGAAACTATCCTTCCTCTCTTTTCCTTTCTTTTTAAAAAACCTTTTACATTTATAGAAGGTTAAGTATATATGTGTGTATGTATGCACACATGTACACAAGTACAGTTTTGTGTTTACTGATGGTTTTATCACCTGCTTTTTTTCAGTGATCTGTTCTTCCATTCTAGTACATATATTACCATCTTTATTCCCATATTTCTCCAAGTGATCCAAAATGTGCAAAGTAATATCTAACCCAATATCATATACTACATATACTTACCGTATCCTTAATCTCTCACACACTGGCCCTTTATGATTCATTGAAGAGACCAATCATAATGTTCAGCCTTTTGAATTTCTGTTTTCTTGAGGTATCTTCTTAGTTTCTTTTTCATTCTCTGTATTTCTTGTGAATTGGAAGTTTTAACTAAAGACTAGTTCACTATGTTACATCATATATAATACTTAAATTACTATTAATGATACTAAAAATAACCTTTAGATTCAGTGCTATCATCAAATTCCTTCAATGTATGGTTTTCTTAATAAGATTTTCCTTACAGAGTTATTTTGGAACTGTTTGTGTATCAGTTCCCTACCAACCATTCCTCTGGTGTTTTAAACAGCTACGATAATACTTGGCTCACTGAATAATTTTATTAGGATTTTGGTATGATGCTTTTTAAATTATTTTATTCATCAGTTATGAACTGATTTTCTTATTTC